GCTTTTGCCAATTTTCTTCGCATGCCACATATTGAGCTACATCTATATTTTTCCTTGTCCTTGCTTGAGCATTTAGGAGTATATCATGTAAATAGGATGAATGTATTGTATAAGATGTGGATAAAGAGAAGATGTGACCGGGGGTATAATTTGATGGTGTAAGTTTAATGAGGTTGATAGAGTCGGAAAAAAAAATTGAAAACAAATAAAAAAATAGAAAAAAAGGAAAAAAAAATGAATAAGTATGTGTAGTTGCTTATATTTTAGCATTGACTCAAAAAAAGACAGTTTGGTTGGATTTTGAATTTTCTTATATGGCTTGAGAGTATAGATCGAAATGGGGTATGAATAATTTTGTTGGGTTTGATTATGATTGGTAGGTGATGAATTTGTGTAGTTCATGTTTTTCTAGATGCTCAAGTTTTGGTCACTTTATCCATATTTTTTCTACCCTAACCAAAGAGCCTACATTACAACCAAATGAAAAAGTCCTTTTTGATTCATGAAGTACATGCACAATAAGTGGTGGAGATAGTGAACGATTGCAAGCTAATGGTAATTCTTCGACATTGAATTGACCTGAGTTATTTTCCTATACACTTTTGAGAGTGAGAGTATACACTTATCCGGCGAGGTTTGTGGATTGAAAGTATTGACTGTGATTTTGATGAAGCATTCTTTATGCTTAAAAATTATGGAACTTCGTTATCTTATTTGTCTGGTGCCTATTAAGAATGTGCATGATTGACTTTGAAAGTTGTGATTGTTTTTCCTTGTGTGTTTGTAGGAGTTTGATGCAGGACTATCAATGGTTTAAGTTTGGGGGTTTGTTCGTGTGTGATTTTACACCATGTTTATATAGCATATAGAGTTTATTCATTACATTATTGCGTATAAATTGCATTATTGTGCTTTTATTCTTTTCTTGTTGGAAAGGTATTACACGTGCTTGTTTTGTAAATATTTCTACATTTTTGTAGAGCTTTTGGCTATCGGAGGCGCATGGTGAGTACTTAGGAACCCTGGGATGATGAAAGATTGATGCACAGATGAAAAAAATAGAAGAAACGAGTGAAACGAGCAAAAAGTGGAGAGCAGATTTGTGACACGGGCATTATGCCCATGTCAGAGGCTGTGTTACCTCACCTGGGAGATTTCGAAGCTTTAAACGTGACACAGCCAGAATGGTCGTGTCGCGTGCGCAGACTGTTTTTTATTTCTTGCCTTTTTGGAAAAGGAGAAGGCTTTTAGATGGTATAAAAGACATAATTACCCTATTTTGATGGGGAGAGGACGTGAGAAACAGCAGAGAAGACCCTAGAACACACAAGAGAAGCAATTGAAACACAAAGAAGATCCAACTACGAAGGAATCAAGAAGATTGAGAGATCGGCGAGATTCTTAGTTTTTATTTCTTCTTTTTTATGAACTTTTATTTATCATGTTGATTTATAATACGTCTATGTATTTGAATTCGAACATGAATGGCTAGATTATTTGATTATAGGACTTGGTAGTAGATTAATATGTTGGAATTTTGGATGATTTATTTATAATTAATTGTTTTTCTTTTGAACCTTATTCAAATATTTTGCTCTTAATTCATGTTTAGCACTTGGCCAATGTATTTACATGTTTGACAATATTGTTCATAATTCGAGAGATGATTCAATATTAGGTTTTTAATATTTGACACAATTTACTTGTTTGAATCGAGAGATTAGCAGGTCGTTGTGAGGATATTAGAAATTTTGTTCTATTTGTTGTTGAATTGCATGTATTGAGTGGAGACGCTAATATATGTAATTTATTCTACGATTTTATCGATCTCGAGAGGGATGATAAGCTAAATTTGTGATCATCTTATAGGGTAGATAAAGGAAACGTTTAGTTGTGATATTTTTTAAGGGTCCTAACTGTAAATTGAAATCATAGTCTTAGGATCTCTCATTTACGTGTTCTTTAGTAAATTCCTTATTCTTGATTTATTATCTTTGATTTATTTACTTAGTTTAGCTAATCAATCTCATACTCGATCGTTTAAATAAAATTGACACTATCTTAATCTTGTACTTGATATATTAATTATTTAGTCTCTTGGGATACGACCTTGCATGCCACATACTACGAGTGAAGCCGTACAATTGCAGTCGAGCTTTAAAAATATAGGCGAACACTTGTCTGTTGCATACTTATCACATAATCTGTCTCACACCATCTCAATGAACTTCACCTGTCTGTCGCATAGTTGATCGCATTAGTAATTCGCACTTTCTCAATTAACTTAGTCTGTCTGTTGCATGCTTTATCACATAATTTGTCGCACTTTACTCACTGATCGCTTGTGTGTCGCATATCATATCGTACAAATATTTCGCAGTCTATAAATTATCTTTGCATGTCTGTTGCATATTTTATCGCATAATAATTTGGTACTTTATCAATTATCTTTGTCTGTCTGTCGCATAGTTTATCGGATAACTATTTTGCACTTTATCAATTATCTTTGTCTGTCTCTCGCATAGATTTTTTCATCAATTACCTTCGTCTGTTTGCCGCATAGCTTTTCGCATAACTATTTCTCACTTTATCAATTATCTTCGTATGTTCGTCGCATATATTTTACCATAAATATTTCGCACTTTATCAATCATTTTCGTCTGTCTGTCGTATAGCTTTTTGCATAAATATTTTGCATTTTATCAATTATCTTCGTCTGTCTGTAGCATAGCCTTTTGTATCAGTTATCTTCGCCTGTTTGTCGCATAGCTTTTCGCATAATATTTTCACGTTTTATCAATTATCTTCGTCTGTTTGTCGCATAACTTTTTGCATTTTATCAATTATATTTGTTAGTATATCTCATAGCTTATCGCATAAATATTTCGCGTTTTATCAATTATTTTCGTCTGTCTGTCGCATATCTTTTCGCATAATACTTTTGCACTTTATCATTTTTTTTCGTCTGTCTATGGCATAGTTTTTTGAATCAATTATCTTCACCTATGTGCCGCATAGTTTATCGCATATTTGTTTCGCACTTTATCAATTATCTTTGTCTGTCTGTCGCATAGCTTTTCATATCAATATCAACTATCTTCGTCTGTCTGCCGCATAACTTTTTGAATTCAATTATCTTCTTCTGTCTTTTGCATGGTTTATTACATAATTGTTTCGCACTTTATTAATTATGTTCGCCTTTTTATCGCATAGTTTATCGTATAACTATGTCGCGCTTTATCAATTATCTTTATCTGTCTGTCGCATACCTTGTCGCATAATTCTTTCGTACTTTATCAATTATCTTTGCATGTCTATTGCATAGCTTATCGTATTATTTCGTACTTTATAGGGTGAAAAAGTTAATTTATTATTTGGAGGTGTGAAAAACTTATTCGTCTTCAGAGTGGGGTGAAATTTACTATTTCCTCTAAAATATAACAATTCAAATTGACATGATATAAAAAATAATTAGAAATTTTATAGAGTCATCGGATGGTTTTCTTATGGAGCCATCCATCACTTAATGTATTGACACATGTGCAAAATGTATTTATTGTAACACACATATCAATTCACTATTTGTTAATAAGTGTGGATGACTCCATAAGTCGTGCCATATGATGGTTCATTGCAAACTGGCTTTCATTATATCTATCTATCTATATATATATATATATATATATATATAATAAGAATTACTATTTACCATAAATAGTAACTAGAAATTTTAGGACAACATTAATTGCTTACTATTTTTGATTTTTTTTCTTTTTTTTAACATTAAACCTTATCATCATTTGACTTAGGCGGCCTAAAAAAGTGGAATTTAATTTGAAAAATTCAAATCAAATCGTATCCTAAAAATTTGTATTTTTGTTAAATCCCTCATAATACAATCCCATATCAATACCATTTTTGAATTTATTTTCCTTAAACATACAACAAAAACAGTATCCACGTACACAATTTATGCCTTCCTAAATTTAAGTAATTTGTTGGTCCCCAAATTAGTGAAGATTTCTTGCATGAAGGATTTATACAATTTTGAAAAAATTGGGAACTTGGTATAAACCCATTACATATGATATTGGTTTTGGAATTTGAATTTTCAAATTTCTTCCATGTACATACGTAACTATTCATTTCCTAAAATTAATTAATTTGTTGAATCAGATACGATATTGTGGTATTGGTTTTGGAATTTGAATTTTCAAATTTCTTCCATATACATACACAACTATTCACTTCCTAAAATTAATTAATTTGTTGAATCAAATACGATATTGTGGTCCACCAAAGTCAGTGGTGATATTTTGCATGAAAACTTTTTACAATTTAAAAATATTATGACTCTTGGTATAAACATTTTGGATAACCTTTTTTCACAAAATAAATTTGAGATGGATTAGGAATTTCAAATCAATTCAAATTCATCTCTGATTACAAGTTAAAATTTTCCAAATTTTATTTTAAGAATAAAATTTATGGTTTCAAACTCGAGATGATGAGTTTGTCAATAGATAAATATTTTATTTTTATTTTCTAAAATATTTATTTAAAAATTATAATGACAATAAATTTTATGATAAAATAATAAATTATATTATACCAGAATATGTAAAACTATTATTTTTTATAATAAAGAATAAATATATACACTAAAACCAAATTTATATTAGTATCAATGTTTTAACGAGATAATATATTAATTAATTTACATACTAGAGCTAATAGGTTGAGGTTTAACATTATGACTAAAAAAATAACGATGATCAAAAGATGTGTAAAATAGATGATCTAACTCTATTTTTTTAAACCTAATGGACAGGCCATCTGGAAATTTAGACCCGTGCATCGCACGAGCTACGTAATAGTTAGTAGAATAGTGAAAAAAAAAATAAATTGGTCGAGTAATAGCTTTTATTGAAGAATAATTTATTTATAAGGCCATAATAAGAAAACCAAAAACATTTTTATAACCAATAGGAGCCTTACAATATTTACTTGGCAATAATATGCAAAGTTTGTTGTGAGAGCAGAAATGGTAGAGAGGGAAATCTCTTTCGTTATTGTCTTCCTTGTTTATATATTTGTGCTGCTACCTGCAATTTCTACTGTCAACTCCTCCATTAATGGAGAACAAGTTGAAATCAAGAGCTCCGATTTTCCTGATGCGTTTCTCTTTGGAGCTGCTACTTCTGCGTATCAAGTAGTGTGTTCCTCTCTTTTTTTATTTTTTCTTCAGATTCATTGGACTAACATTTAACGAATTTGGTTTTGTTCTTCTTTTTATAGAAAAATGCATTGGACTAACAGTATCATTGCATTCTCTCCTTTTCTTTTCCCCTTATAAAATATAAAAATCGTAGATTGAAGGAGGATTCATGGAAGATGGTAAGAGTCTAAGCAACTGGGATGTTTTCTGCCGGCTTCAAGGTAATATAACTTCCTCCAAGTTTTTCTCCTTTTTTTTTTCCTTTTCTTTTTAATTTTTATTTTTCTGAGGGGTAAATTTTGAATTTGGATGTCTGGGAGAGTTGTCAGGTAGCATTGCAGATGGGACCAATGGCGACATAGCTGATGATCATTACCATCGCTACATGGTATTAACCTCTTTGTTTTTCTTTCCCGTTATAAATCTTACAACAAAAGATTGATTGTAGCCACATTGGAAATTCTGGAATTCCTCTAATTTTGTTTGGTTTTTAACTAATGAATCACAGGAAGACATTGATATAATGCATTCACTTGGTTTGACAGCTTACCGGTTCTCGATCTCATGGAGTAGAATTCTTCCTAGTATGCACTTTCCATTTTCTAATAAATTCACCTTGCTTTTATTTTCGGCAGCTTTTGTTCATTTGAGTTCCTCTATGTAGGAGGAAGATTTGGTGGGGTTAACCTTGTTGGTATTGCCTTCTATAACAAGATTATCGATAATCTCCTACTTAAAGGTACTAATTTTTCCAAGTAACAGACTCTATTCATTCAATCCTTTAGTACCTGTTCATTTAAATCATATAAGGTCCAGTGCAGGTATCGAGCCTTTTGTGACGATTTTCCATAATGAGTATCCTCAAGAACTTGAAGACAGATTAGGAGGCTGGCTCAGTCCTCTAATGCAGTTAAGATATCCCTTTTTTAGTTATCCGGATGTTTAATTGATTCGCTAAGTAATATTTTTTAATTCGATTGGCTTATATGCTTGTGTTTTGTAATAGTAATATTTTTATTATTATTCCTCTCATTGTAAAGCATTTTGATGTGCTACAAAATAACAGGGAAGAATTTGTTCATTTTGCCAAAACCTGTTTCGAATACTTTTCTGATCGGGTCACATATTGGATCACAATTAACGAGCCCAATTTATTCGCGGAAAATTCGTACGAGAGGGCAAAATACCCACCTGCTCGTTGTTCGCCTCCTTTTGGTGACTGTCCATATGGGAATTCTGATATTGAGCCTTTGATTGTGGTGCACAATTTGTTACTGGGCCATGCAAAAGCTGCTAAGCTGTATCGAGAGCAATACAAGGCAAGTACAAAGTAATCAATAAATTTGAAAATATGATGTACGTGCATTTATAGAATTTTTTTGGCTTTTCCATTCGTTCAAAGTGACTTTGAATTGATGCAGCACAAAGTAAATGGTGTAATGAGCATCTCTGTCTGTGCATTTATGTACGTACCTTTGAGAGATGAGGAGGCCGATAAGGAAGCTGCTAACAGGGCCTTGGCTTTTAATGTTGCTTGGTAGGCCGATATTTAATCAAAGATGAATGATCTGTTTGTTTAATCCAATCAAAATGTCCAATAGTGTTTGTTAACAGGGCCTTGGCTTTTAATGTTGCTTGGTAGGCCGATATTTAATCAAAGATGAATGATCTGTTTGTTTAATCCAATCAAAATGTCCAATAGTGTTTGTTAACAGGGCCTTGGCTTTTAATGTTGCTTGGTAGGCCGATATTTAATCAAAGATGAATGATCTGTTTGTTTAATCCAATCAAAATGTCCAATAGTGTTTGTTAACAGGGNACATTTAACAATGCTGATATGGTTGTACATGAGCCTTTTTGGGGGGTCGGAACAAGAATATCTTATTCTGTTTGCCTTTTGCAGACAGGAATGCCTCGGTTTTTTGTGGTTCCGAGAGGCATGGAAGATATTGTTGCCTATGTTAGGGAGAGATACCAAAACAAGCCGATGATTATCACAGAAAATGGTAAATTTAGGTGCATTCGCTTGTATTTTTTGACGTAATTATTTATCCCATCTCTGTTGTGCTCTATGAATGATATTAAAAATTTTATATGAATGGGATGATATGTAAGTGAGGGAGTCGTTGCAGTTTGCAGTAGAAACTGAGTAAGTACACAGTTTTGGTGTTGTTTGTTTTCAATTTCATCAACTGCGAATATTCTGTATAAAGAAAAGAAAGGAAAAAATAGGCTTCCTTTTAGATTCTGATTTTCCTTGCGGGTTTGACAATGAGCTACCATCTTATTTATGATTTTAATTATTATCTTTGGCATGTAATGTTAGTTGACTTCAATCTTCAGGGTATTCTTCCCCAACTAATGAGGATAACATCTACCAGCACGACATGAAAAGAATTAATTATCATCAGTCATATCTTCAATATCTCGCTCGTGCCATAAGGTACTTCTTCACTTTCAAATGATCACAAATCCAAATGATCTTCTGTTTGAAATCTCGATTATTGACTTGTTAATCGAAATTTACAGGAAAGGGGCTGATGTCCGTGGCTATTTGATATGGAGTTTGATGGACAATTTTGAATGGTCGAGTGGATATGACATCAAGTTCGGGTTATATCATGTGGATCGTCAAACGCTAAAGAGGAGCCCGAAAATGTCGGCCACTTGGTATAGAGATTTCTTGAGCAATGCTACTACAGCTTCAGTTAAAGTAAGCCATGTATCTAAAATTCAATTCCAGTGATTGTAAAGCATGTATTGTTTGAAGATGAATCCCTGAAAATGAAGGCACCTCAATGTACAATGAACTAATAAAGTTTGTGGTCTGATATTGTTCATTATATATTGGTGGTTATAAATTCCAGATTATTACATAACAGATTTTCTTTGTTTTTGGTATAATTCATTTGGGTGGCAAACTGCTGGCCAATAATTGTGATGATGATGGTTGCAATAAAATCCAAGGCAGTGGCTCCACTAAATTAATGAAATTAGATAGGCACATGCTTCATAAAAACGGGAAATGGACCCAGTTTGATGTCTCTTTTTTCTGATGGGACTATGATTTAGTGATATAGCTCAACTTAATATATAATGCTGGATTGGTTGCCCATAAATGAACCTCGACTTCACCGACACATGATTATACAGAGGAATTTCTATTTTTACCTTAACACAAACAAATAGTGCCACAATTAACTGCTACTAAATTCTGACCTATGGGTGGTGATGTACACAAAGAAGTTCATTATTGTTGGTTCTGAAATATAAGGTTGGTTTAAATATGTTACTTCCATAACTAGTGTGTAGCCCGTGCGATGCACGGGTAAATAATATTAAATAATAATTATAAATTAACGATGATAGTAAACAATATTAACTAATAATTATAAATTAAATATGAGGTAAACAATATTAACTAAAAATTGTAATTAATTTGTGGAGTTAATATGTGACATAATTTATCGTATATCAGTTGTAAACAATATAAAATTATCTTGTATAAAATAACATAAAAAATGTATGTTTAAAATATTAAAAACACCTAAAATATTATATAACGTATGTGAAGTATCTAAAATTTTATATATCATTATTGAAAGATGTGAAGTCACCCAAAATATTTCTAAAATATTTTATAAATAAAACATGTAGTCCATGTATCTCCTGTTAGTCAGGCCGAGTTATGTTCGCAGACAATTTTGTTCGATTTACAATTCTAGTCACCCCCGCCCCCAAATATTTTTCTAGATACTTCCCTGATTCTAAAATTTTTATTACCTTTTGAAGTGAGATTTTATAAATATAGAGACTGAGATTTTAATGTTCTTCATTATTTCTATGAAAAAAATAAAAATGTACACTTAATAGATCTTAGCTGAAATTATTAAATAATAAAATGAATTAAAGCCCAAAATTTAATGCAACATTTAATGTTGTATGATTTTTTAAAGATAAAAATAAAAAATTAATAAAACTTACTATTTATAGGTTGCATTAAATTCTCTCCTATTTTTTTGCTACTATTTTTGTTAAATGTTAATTCTTATTATATATATAGATTATGTAATTGTAGTATTTTTGACTGAATAAATTCACAAATGAAATGTTCTATTCCAATACTTCATTAATTTCTTATTGCAGTGCACATATATGATCAACACTTAGAGCATCGCCAATGTAGCTTTTGACTTCATAAAAATTCATCCATATCATCAAATTTTGAAAGTGTATTACTAATTTATTCTCCAATGCATCTTGTCATGAACTCTTTCATGATGAGGTGGATAACATTTAATGTTAACAATGTTGAACACACTTTCTAATATCTAACACCATGTTAAACATGATGACTAATTAATTCACTTTATATTTGATTTAATTTTTTATTGTTCTTGTATTAAGGATTATTTTAATTGGTCCACATATACAAATAACTTGTTATCAATTTGATGCATTGGAGATACTAGTTTGATTCAAATTTCAACTCTTTTAACATTATTCCTACATAGATTAACATTACAATCATTGATTGACATGTGTTAAAAATCATTATCTTTCAAAGCTATAACATTGGAGATGCTCTTATATAATTAAAATCACTTTATGACAAAATTTTAATATTTTTTTTTTTCAGAACGATAGGATTTATAAATTAAACACATAATTACATTTAGATCACAACCAGCACAATCGACTATAGCAATTACACAGTTGAATCTAATGGCTAAAATGAACACAACTAACCCACTCAAAAATAAATAGACGACAAGCATCTCAACTGGTGTACTCTATCTGAAGTTGAGTGGTGTACGGGTCGATTTGGCTGTGCTCAAGAAATTATGTTCTGGTCCTGATTTGTAGCACTTGCTGGGCTAAGTGATTGAGTGATGCTTTGATCTAAGTATATATCGTATTTTCGGTTTGGTTGATGCTTATGTTCGGGAAGCATTTTTTTTTTTAAACGAAAGTAGACTGCGAAATGATAATGAGAGGAAGAGCTCTCGATCTGGATTATGTACGCCGAGAGAGAGAGAGAGAGAGAGAGAGAGAGAGAGAGAGGAGAGGCGTACGGGGCAGGAGATTTTCTCCCGGAGAATCGCAACGAGAAATTTGAAGGGGACGACTCGGTCAGGGGCACGAAGGAAAAACAATTACGGCCAGTATCTTTTTCCAACTCCATTGGACCAAGCATTATCACTTAATTGGGCCGAATTTACAACTCACATGGGCTAAGAATTTGAGCTAATGCGGGCCTAAAAATTTAATCAACTTAAATTTGGGCTAAGATAGAATTTGGTTGGAATTTACTATTAAAAGGACCGCAACATTTTCAAATAATCGGGTCGAAAGAATTTAAATTTACCAAAAGAGTCGGGATCAACTTAATCGGGCCGAAATATTTCCCTATATATATATATATATATATATATATATATTGGCCAAAAGAGTTACAACGCGATAACATGAACCCGATCGATTCGATTGATGACGAATAACAAATAAAATTACACAACTTATTATATTAATTAGACTACATCTAATTAAATAATAATAAGTCTAAACGGACAAATGTCGAGCAATAATACAATACAGACAATTAATTCAAATAATAATAAGGCAAATATTCAATATAAGCAAATAAATAATAATATAAAATCCAAAAATTCTGATAAACGAACGGGGCATTACATTGCTTGTGCCCACACCTGTTTCATTAAGAACATAGCCACCCAGATCTACCATGCCCGTCTTCTTGTCATACTTCCCATGCTACCACTTCTAGAAAATACGAAGGCGTGGCACAAATGTCACTTCTTTTTGGACCCCGGCTGATTTCCTCATGGGTTTCGTTAAGCTAACGACGTTAAACAAGTGCTTCGTGGGAGGCAGCCCAAGTTTTATTTACTACTTTCTTAACTACTTTCTTTCATGCCTTTTTAGTTTTGTGAAAATAGCTATTTTCACCCCGTTTTGAAGTCCTCCTAAGTTTTTCTAACCACCCAATAAAAAGCTAAGTTTTTCACCCCAAAAAGTACGAAGACATATGCGATGAACTATGCGATAGATAGACGACCGGTATGAGCATGTGCGAGAAAATTATGAGTTAAAGTATGCGACTGTTCTGCGACGAGTATGCGGAAATTCGATGTATGATTCGGTCAATCGCGGTCCGTCACCCATTATCTAATTATTCTTGTTAGGCGAATGAATCTGCGACTATTAGTTGAAAAGATTATTCTGCGAGATCCGAACGTCGAATATTATTCGCAGAGTTGGTGCATTATAAGGTTTTTTCGTAGAATATTTTTTATTTCTTTCATCTTTCAGTTATGCGATGAGGTATGCGAATTGCCGCATATTGCTCGCACTTCTACTTGAAAGTTATTTTTTATTTCTTTCAGTTATTTCAGTTATGCGAGGGGGTATGCGTATTGCAACATATTTCTCGCATATCCCCTTCGCACTTCTACTCGAAAGTTTAGTTTTTATTTCTTTTTTATTTCTTTAACCTTTCAGTTATTTCAGTTATGAGATGGGGTATGCGAATTTCCGCATATTGCTCACATACCCCATTTTGCACTTCTACTCGAAAGTTTATTTTTTATTTCTTTTTTATTTCTTTCACCTTTCAGTTATTTCAGTTATGAGATGGGGTATGCGAATTGCCGCATATTGATCGCATACCCCACTTCGCACTTCTACTCGAAAGTTTATTGTTTATTTCTTTTTTATTTCTTTCACCTTTCAGTTATTTCAGTTATGAGATGGGGTATGCGAATTGCCACATATTGCTCGCATAGCCCCTTGCGACGAGTATGCGTAGATTCGATGTACGATTCGGTTAATCGCGGTCCGTCGCCCAGTAAATAATTATTCTTGTTAGGCGAATGAATTTGCGACTATTAGTCGAAAACATTATTCTGCGACATACGAACGTCGCATATTATTCGCAGAGTTGGTGCATTATAAGTTTTTTTCGTAGAATATTTTTTCCTTCTTTCATCTTTCAGTTATGCGATGGGGTATGCGAATTGCCGCATATTGCTCGCCTACCCCCTTCGCACTTCTGCTCTAAAGTTTATTTTTTATTTCTTTCAGTTATTTCACTTATGCAATAGGGTATGCGAATATTCGCATATTGCTCGCATATCCCTTTCGCACTTCTACTCGAAAGTGTATTTTTTATTTCTTTTTTATTTCTTTCATATTTCAGTTATGCGAGGGGGTATGCGAATTGCCGCATATTGCTCGCATACGCTCTTCGCACTTCTACTCGAACGTTTATTTTTATTTCTTTTTTATTTCTTTCAGTTATTTCAGTTATGCGAGGAGGTATGCGAATAGCCGCATATTGCTCGCATACGTTCTTCGCACTTCTACTCGAAAGTTTATTTTTTATTTATTTTTATTTCTTTCAGTTATTTCAGTTATGCGATGGGGGTATGCGAATTTTCGCATATTGCTCGCATACCCCCTTCGTACTTCTACTCGAAAGTTTCTTTTTTATTTTTTTTTTCAGTTATTTCAGTTATGCGAATTGCCGCATATTTCTCGCATACCCCCTTCGCACTTCTACTCGAAGGTTTATTTTTTATTTCTTTCATCTTTTATCGTTTAATTTAGTTTAATTTTTTTCTTTCAGGTATGAGAAATGCCACATACATACAACAAACAAAAATATAATAAAATGCAAAAAAAAAAAAAATGTATTACATGAATCATTCTGGGACGGTAATTGTTTCTGGTTCTGTACTAAACTGAAATATTTTTCAAGCAATTTCGCGCCTCCTTTTCACAACCCACTGCTTGGTAGACTTGTCTGTGGGCTTCTTCCCCGTTAGCAATGTTTGTACCATATCCACAACGCATACACCACAAGAAATTCTATCATGTTGCAAGATAGTATCTTTGGTGTCCATGAATTTGAATTCGAACTTTTCGCTCACCTCCTCTACTTCCGTATACGTTGCAATCAGTGGAATTAGATTTTTGATTTTTTGGAGTGATTTGACGCGGGATTCGAGAATGTGCTCGTCCTCCTTTCTAGATACGTATGCCGTAGGGGGTCAAACACACGTATCGTCCCCTTGCGTAAAAGGATCTGGAAAGTTACGTAGTGCTCCGACAAATTCGCTACTCTAATAATCTGTTGCATTGAGTTGTGAGAAATTCACTAATTTTATAGGAAAGATTGCAATATTAATTGATTCGGAATCATTGAAAACTTACAGAATCAATCTGCCCCCAAGTATACCGATTCCCCCAATCGCTGACCCCCTCATTCGCATAGCGAATAAAATATTTAAGGTTGTCCGAGTCCGGGTCCACTAACCCCTTTTCCACATCCTTCTCCAATTCCCCCAGAATCCACTATATAAAATACAACAAGATAATAAATAATTTTCTTATTAATATAATTATTAATAAAAATGGAATGACAAGGAAAAGCGAAAGGATTAAAATAATCTCACAAAAAACGTAGTCGGCACGATGGTATAAGTGCCCAACATCTCGACCGGTGGCTCCACCTCCAAAAAATCTGGATTGCTTTGCATAATCCCCAAGTATGCATTCACGTGTTGTTTTATAAAATCAAACCAAACATCATCCATCAATTCATTTTTATACGTTAAGATATTACAAGACAAACATATACATACCTCCTCCGACATCATTACAGCAGGATTAATCAACTCCTTAAACCAGTCCTGGCCCACCTCATATTTAACGTCGGCACTCCTCCTATTAAATAATATAATAGAAAGTTAATTTTTATTTAAATATAAACAATAAAAGATCTTTTGGATGTACTTACATTTCTGGCTTCTTGGATTTGAGGAACTGGTCAAACGCGCGCTCACTTTTGGCATACCGTCTGTTCTCGACGGGACGATATGGACTTACAATAGCACGTCCTGGTCGTCTTTGTCGATCAACTTTAATCCCCAAAGATGAGGACTGCGGAGAAGAAGTGAACTGCAACACGACTGTCTTGGAGGTCGGAGTGACGACTGTCTCGATGAGGGTATTGTTGGAGGTGGGATTGACGACTGTCTTGGAGGTGGAGGCATTGGCGGCGGTTGCCTCGGAGGTGGAGGTGGGGTCGACGGCTGTCTCGGTGAGGGAATTGTAGACGGCTGTCTCGGAGGTGGGAGTGGCGGCACGCTGTCTCTTTGGATAGGGGGTGATGGTTGTCTCGGAGGGGGTGCGGGAACGCTGTTTCTCATGGGAGCGGGTGGAGGAACGTTGTCTCGTCGAGGAGTGGGTGGGGGAACGCTGTCTTGTCGAGTTGACGGCTGGCTCGGACTTGGGAGGAGNCGGCTAGCTCGGACTCGGGAGGAGGCTGTCTCAGATGGGGGTGCGACAAATTGGCCAACTCCTGTCGAATAAAAGTCGGCACCTCCCGTAGAATGATTGTTGACACCTCAGAGGATATTCTGGCTATAACATTAGCCATTTCAGCCCGTACGCATGCCCGAATATCCTCACTAAAGGCCGACCCATCTGTTGGCCTCACCTCCTCCCGGTGCATCGGACTATCTTCACCCTCAGTCCGGGCCCGCTTCCTCGGGTGCACAGCGTTGGCCGCAATTTGAGATTGCAGAGCCAACGTGGACGGCAGTGCCGAGACTTGCATACGGCAACTGGCCGGGGGACCCCGTCGCAAAAATCGAGGCCCCTCAACATTCAAAGTCGAGAGGTCCAACACGCCATTCTCCTCCTCATACAGCTCCAGCGTCTCATACACCTCCAACTAAATTTTAAAAAATAGAACATAAAAATAAATATAAAGAAATCATCAGAAATAGTTAAGACTTAAAAAAGAATTTCGGATATCACTTGCTAACGATTCCAATAAAAAATGTTTAGGATCAAATAATACTTGTTTGTCAAGAAAAGTATCAAGAAGAGTGACCCTCCTCAGTTCCCAGTGAACCAGTCGTGGTGGACGTTTCTCCGAGGTACGTGTTCTACATGTACG